TGGATGCTAGCCCGGTGCTAGCCTATCTCCGGCCTTCGGCCGAGTGCTGATAGATATTAATAACAGAATAACAGAAAAGGCGTAATTTGTATTTTATTATATTTAAGGATTTCCCAAAGGCTTTGAGCCTGTCGCGGAGATCTCCTGCAAGAAGACTGAAATGACAACTTTATGTAGAGGGAGCAGTTAATCGAGGATAGGCTAAGGAAATAGATCGAGGCATAAAATCTGGTAATTAAGGAGTTGGTATACAGTCAGTGTAATGAATATATCGGCAAACATGCTGATAGAGAGAATGCCTGAATTCGAGGAGGCTGGTTATAGAGGTAAGAGAAGGCGGTAGGCAATTCCATAGCATTGCAGCTTTGTTGGAAAAGAGGGGAGAAAAACGCACACCGTGATAATATTGATGTTAAGTTGGTTTGGTCTTCTTGGACTTGAAGACAGTGAAAGGTGAAAATGTTGGAGGTGTTCTGGAGATATATGGATAAGTTTAAATAGAGTAACAAGAGCTGATACTTGTCTGCGAAAGTGCAAGGACTCTAAGTCACAAAGGGCATTTAACTGGGGTTTCGTTTCGCATCTATCTACATTGACTTTTTTTACGTAGCAAATATTTCCTAGTTATTCTGGATTGTAAAATATTTAAACGCTCCAGCTCAGCTTTGGTGATGGCATAGGACCAGGCCGAGGTGGCGTGTTCCAGGGTGGGTCTGACTAAACCTTTATATAGAAGTAGAAAGGCTGTGGGGGCGAGATGCCGTCCCATGAAGCATAGCAGATTAACACGACGTTGGAAGGTTTTCAGGATGGTCTGAAGGTGGACGGTGTTGGACTGGTCGGGTGTTAAATACACTCCAAGATGCTTCGCAGCTTCAACGATGGTGATAGGTTGGGAAGAGAGCTGGATAGGGTGGTCGTTACTGTAGTTACGGATCTGAGTTGTTTAGACTGGTGAGAACTCTCCACCGCCGTTGCTGGCCCATAGTTGGCAGGTAATGAAAACAGATGGCGAAAGAGGCAGCTTGCTAAGCTGGCCAGGCTGTGCCAAGATTATGGTTGACTCGGCGAATGGAGTCGGCAACGATTGCCAAATGAGGGGGTAAAGGACAAGCTAGCCACTAGACACGAGATCCTGAAAAGGGGACTTAATGTCGTACTGGAAGAGGTTAAGCAGCAAATTCATGCTACATCCGCTGGGATCAAGCGCTCCGATGAGCGATCCCGGCAGTTTCGACAGAATGGAACCTTTGAGACAGACCAGAGACAAATCTACTGTGAACTTCAAGGGGACAACACTACAACCGCCAAACCATCAGACGGTACCTCACTTGACTCACAAAATGCTGTAGCCTTCTAGCAAGGCATAAGGTCCTCACCCGTGACCTATGATCAACAAGCAGAGTGGGTGACCACTGTGGAAAGTGACCTCCGAGAAGTTTAACCCTTTCACTACCCATTATTTTCGCAATTGAGTCAATTCACAGTCTACAAAAATACTTCGCCATGCGCCAGATATGCACCAAGGAGTGAAAGCGATAGTTGCAGTCGATAGCCAAGGTCTTTCTCAAGACATAAACCCCTCATCTGTAATAATCCGACAATGTTTGAGCGTGAGACGAAATATTTAGTGATTGCCTATTGCATCGATCCACATGGATCGATATTTGAATGGCTGGTAGTGAGAGGGTTAAGGACAAGATGAGGTGTGCATTTTCATCATGCATGTGCAAGAGTTTTAGCCGGCATGCCGTACTGGAAGGTACCAGGCCCAGATGGTGTTCAGTGGTACCGGGTGAAGAAGTTTACCTCTTTGCATACTGCAATGGCCCGAATGCTTAACGCATGCCTGCAGGATGCCGAAGTGCCAGCTTGGATGAATCATGGTCGCACAGTTCTGATCATGAAAGACCCTGGCAAGAGCGTTTTAACCAATTACGGACCAATTACCTGCCTTCCAGTCATGTGGAAATTATCCTGCAGCATTCTGAGCAAAAAGATCACAGCCCATCTTCGGGCGTCATCTCTGCTTCCTGATGAGCAGAAAGGTTGCAAGCGTGGAACTTATAACACTAAAGATCAACGTGAAGGAGGACAGTAAGCATCGCAGAACCAATTTGGTTGGACAGCTTGTAGAAGTTTTTATTCAATGTTTTTTGGGGATTCACTTTGCCTACAATGGATCATAGTTTGCGGCGATGTCACGTGTCAAGCCTGTTGCCAAGTGCTGCTGTCAAGGTCCACAGACCACAGGGTGCATAATAGAACCGTAAGGATAAGTGTGTAGAAGAGGTTGGTGCGACTTTGGCGATAATTGGGGAATTGTGTGTTGCTCCCTAAGTGGGAGCGTGCGCGATTCCTGCCGACTTGAATTCTCACTTTACTGACTCACGACTGTCATCCAGAGCACAATAGAAGTCCATCGAAACTTCCACTCGGAAAACCTGAAAGAAAACACCACTCCCAGCTAAGGGGCCGTCCAAGGTTACCAATAATATATTTAAAACGAAATGTTTTAATTTGTGGGTGGGTGGGTTTGATGGAGTTTCGTTTTGAAAATAATCATCGAATGCTGATGGAGAATGCCCAGTTACTTCTGGGTGTCGAAAATTGACATCAATATTTTATTGGAATTCGTTTTACCTGCAGAAAAGGTGGGTGATTGGAGGCTGAAAAATATAGTGTTGAAACGATCTCACCGGATACTTGTTAGCTCGCTCGCCAGAAACTCGGCTCGTTTGTGCGGCCAGCTCGTTTGCACTAACGAACACCGTACACCGTACTCCGTACACATGGCAGTACATGTCGACCGGGGAGTCGTAAAATATTTTACGACTCCCTGGTCGATTGAGAGTCCAGTCCCGCGCAAAGTGAAAATCACTCGCAGTTACAGGTGACTGTATGCCTCCACGACACTTGAGTTGTTTCAGTTGTCGTTGCAGCTTTGGTGGACTCTACTGATGTCTTGTTCCGCATCTGCTGACCTGTCGCAGGATATGCTTCGGTCACCTCTCCATTCGAGTGAAAGTTACGCTCAGTCGTTTGGAAGTTTTCTCCCGCGATGCAGCGAAGACCAGGGCTACTTGCAATCTTTGCAAAACGGTCTATTCTTACAAAGGCTAATGGACGACGGCGCTGAAAAGACATCTCGACACCAAACAGTAGCTCTTTGACACAGAGGCCGCACACAGAAAATCCCATCAGCCGTTGAGCGACCTGGTCTGAAACCAGCTTGTGACTCGTCTACAAATTGCTGAATATTGGTGTTAATTCTCTTTGTGATTATGGTTGTAAGAATGTAAGGACTTATTATTATTATTATTATTATTTTAGAATTGCGATCAACAGAACGAGCTGAACCGACATTTTCACAAAGGCTTTTATTGTATTCAAAAAAAGAGTGTATACGAAGGCAGTGAAGAACATGGAAGAAAGAAAAAATGTGATATGGAAGAAATGATGAACAAAAAATTGTACTTCGAACTAGTTTTCGCACAACACTCCTCAGGAAGCTACGTTGTACTAATGAAAAACAATCCAGAAAGATACTAATAAAGAGAAATGGAGTGAGAAGAAACAACACCTATGAAAATGATAATCCTAGCACTAAGGTAATAACAGGAAAAACTGCGAAAGCTGCGAAAGCACTTAACGAACTTGTAAGGACTACTAGTATACTGTGACACAAGATCTGACACCATGGCCAACCAGAGCCAAACAGACAGAACAAGTTGCTACTAAAACAATTTCAAACGAATAATGTTGTCCTTCTGGACACACAGATTAGGCTTATGAATACGTTGACAAACGGCTTCTAACACACTCAACTGCAACTTATAACCATGACGAGCACGGCACAAAATAGAAAAAGAAGAATCAGAATAAACCTTACAGCAATCAGGACGAGATGCAAGATGCTTATACACTGATGACTTCCTACTAGAAAACACACGCTCGCACCCACTCTTACTCACACGATCATTCTCGCTCTCACACTCACCGGAATCACTGGACTCACTGGCCGAATCCTCCTCAACGACTTCCTGCCTCGGAGCAATCAGGTCCCGTCTCCTCCCATCCCTCGTCTCACGTTCCTGTTGTGTATTCCGTTGGCTCGGTACTTCCGTACTGAAATAATAACTCCTTAATGTCTGTGCATGCTTTAAGGACTTTCCAAACCACTGACGATAGCATTACTGGTCTGTTACTCTTCAGGGCTCCTTTCGGTTTGCCATTTTGTATATTGGCACAATAATTCCAGTAGTCATGTCTGCTGGGCAGTGCTGTATTTGGCAAATTAGATTGAAAAATGAGGACACCCAACCAGCTAGAATGTCAGAACCTGCATGCAACATCTCACTGCAATTGCCATCCTGACCGACTGCTCCACCTACGTTTTGCTTCTGTATCGCTGCACAAACGTCTTCTGTTGAGAAAGGCTCGTCATCCCTGACACTAGTCGCCGGCTGATGAACCGGTTTACACGACATGCTGGTACTGTAGAAAGTTGATGAAAAATAGTCACTAAATAGTCACTAAATAGTCACTAAATAGTCACTAATTAATAGTCACTAAATAGTCACTAAATAGTCACTAAATAGTCACTAAATAGTCACTAAATAGTCACTAAATAGTCACTAAATAGTCACTAAATAGTCACTAAATAGTCACTAAAATGAATAGTCACTAAATAGTCACTAAATAGTCACTAAATAGTCACTAAATAGTCACTAAATAGTCACTAAATAGTCACTAAATAGTCACTCCAACCAATGTCTGGGATGATCCCTCCATCCATGCTCCCGGCGAGCTGTTGACACCGTGACAAGTATTGGCCTTCAAGTCAGCCTCCATAGTGGCTGTGGAGGCTCAGGCTTTGAGCTGCCTGGCGGTGCGGACTTATCCATGATAGGCATACCCGACCCAACATAACCAGAAGAAACATGAAATACTAGAAACACTCATCAAGCCTCTTTTTGCCCTTTGATCTCTGTTGTTAGTTTGTCTACGGCCTACGGATCCAGGCACTCGTGGGTCTTACGGCAACGGTGTATTCTCCCAACAAGAAGGTCTGAATACGCTGACTTTGACATGTAATCAGGGATATGAGGTTGTCGGTAACCCCAAGGTGACTTGCTTAAAAGCTCCTCGCTCTATTACCTCACTAGCCGGATGCAGTAAGCTTTCTTGTGTGGTTTTCAGATTGCAAAATCAGTGTTACAACAGTATCCCGTGAGCTTGTTCCCAGCAACTGACTGATTTGGGTGCATGTGTGTTAATTTCATTGTTTGTGAAAAATACGAAATACAATCGGACGTGCTTCAAATAGACCGCATCTCCATTCCATTTGTAACCATGCGCCTTGGTGTGGATAGAGCTAAATCATATTCACTGATGAGACCTTAGTGGTCGAAACAGCGTTGAAAATCGGCTTTCGGTATGAACGTCCATTCAAACACGACTTTGCCCTGAGGAGTGTGTAATTGGTTTCAACGGTACTTAGTCTGCCCAGTTACAATTGGCGCTTATCTTCACACTTGCCTCAGGAAGGAAATATCAATATTTGAAGTAAGGCTGCAACCACACTAGGTACAAAATCACGTACAAACGGCATTACAGTAGAAATCGTCATGCCGACGCGTGCGAAATGCAAAATGCGCTTTGTAGGTTTTCAGCAACTGGCGCACCCCTGTAGAAAGCCACGTTTGTCGTTTTCATCGTTTTCGCGCTCCATCTCCTGTGTGCAACTTTGTTTTTGTACCTGGTCGTCGTACATAGCATCAGCATTGGTTTTGAATTTCCCGGTCTTTTCCAGCGCAAGGCACACGCTTTGGTACGACAACGTCACGTGCTGGTTGCGTGAAAACGTCATCTATGCAGACCGAAGAGTGTAGTGTGGTTGCGTACCGACTTGTACTGAGATATGCATGAAAGTTTGTACTGTGGTTGCGGCCTAAGCCAAGATCACAAAGCATTATATACTATTTACATGATTATTTACATGTCAGTAAACAACTCAGTCGAAAATTCAATCAAGTTACACATCCTCCTCGCTACTATCGTCGCTGGAAGAAGAGCTCAAAACGTTCGATTCGGACAGCTGCTGCACGTTTCATGGCTTGTTCCACTTCTCCTCGTCTCGAATCACGCTCAAAGGCAGTGCGTGTCTGTCACTTTGCCGATCAGAAGCTGAGTGAGACTGCCCGCATGTTGGCTGTAGGTAGAGAGGTTGTGCATAACGAAAATTCGTAAAGATCTTTCGGAATCTGAGTCATCTGGAAGTGACGACAATACGTAAAGAAAATCTGTTGTGCTCAACGAAAAACGTAGTGTGACCATGGTGACCCTTTCGAGTACTTTTTTGAATCAAGTACAAGTGTGCACTCCGGCCCACGTGTAGGCACACCGCCGAACTGAGTTGGGCTCAAGTTTTCCAGCTCACAGGCAACGATCTCCATGGCTGGAGACCCTCGTCGAGACGGTTAGTCGTGACAACGAAGCTGCCTGAGAAGGCCAGGTCCATCGCGAGATCAAAATAATGTCCTTCGCTGAGACGTCGCAGGGGAAGATTAAGATGCCAAAGTGGCAGAATTCTGCTGCGAGGTTTCAGCAGAATAATTTTGTCACAGGGCGAGCACTGACTGGACTTCCAGATCTGACAGAACCACCCGAGAGGATCGCTGAGAGAGCGGGAAAGAGATCCATCAGCTCCACAGGATGCCGAGTAGGAAGAACTCGCAGAACGAGGCCATGGCGAACAAATCTTGACACCACGTGCATCAACACAGCTACATGTACATGTATACAGAAGCTTGCGAGAAAGTAGCGAAAGTTCAAAACGTAAGATCTTCAAGTTTTGCGACCATCCTCGCGAAAGTTCCTTTCCTTTTTCGTTACTCGTGGCCAGACTTCGTCTAAGTTACAAATTTTCGTTATGCACAACCTCTCTAGTGTTATCCCCGTTCGTCGCAATAATGCGACTTTGTTTGAGACAAAAAGGCAACGCCATATCAGTGTTCTTTTTTCAAATCGCCTCTTGCGCTTGTCGTACTTGCTGATCAGCACTCACGCGAGCTGCTGGTGCGTGTACATGCAGCGCAGTGATAGCTTCCGCTTGATGTAGCACCTCAGGTCCTGTGCGTACTGCTGTACCTAGGTGACTAAGTCCTAACGCCGTGCACCATGTACCAGGCTTTTCGGCTAGTTTCCTGAAAGTCCTTTGCACTAGTGTTTCCCTCAGGATTTGCTGTTTTCTTTGATTAGCTCCGTTGCTCTGTCCTCTGTGAGTTTCAAAGTGTGTCCGCCGGATTGGTCTCACTTACTGGAGATATCGACATGAGCTGCAGTTTCTTCGTCAGCGATTTTCTGGTGATAGTCCTTCACTAGGCGCTGCACTGTGCAAGCACTGAAATTCAAGCTCACGAAGCGCTTTTTCAGCTTCTCTATATCTCCCCGGGGTAAGTGATACTTGCCATCAGACAGCTGGAAGTAGACAGAAACTGTATTCTCCATCGGTCTGAAATGCGAACATACTGACCTATTTAATGGACTCGAGCGGAGGTTGCAGTGTTTTCTTGCGCTGACGGAAGTGTTCGTCGGCGGCAGCTCCGTCAAAAAGACTCAAACTAACCAATTGCAACTTCTGTGATGGTTTGTGCTGTCATGTTGTTGGATGCAATGGTCATTGGTTATGTTCGGATGGTGAATCGGTGGTTCCATGCCGTGTGACACAGGCAGAACACCGAAAAACCAAGTGAGAAGATATGCGCCAATTTTGACCCTTTGCATTCTGAGCCCCCTTTTCTCCAATCCACTGGCTTTCCAGCGCACTGACTCTCTTGTTGGAGTATGCACTCACAGCTCAGAACGAATTTATTCTCATTTCACTCCACCTTGATGGATTTTCATCATCCTGGACTCATTGGAAAGGTCAGGACCAAGCGAATCCATCCTGGCAGCTCCCAGGTCCACAGACACACATCAGGGCCACTTCCACGTCCTCTCCAAACTACTCCACCGTGCCTCGGAACGGCACAACTCAATTTCACATTCTTGTTCGGCTTCTTGCCCAAATTCGACCGATTTTCACGATTCATACTGCGCTGCAAAGCTGAGATCCAAGCGCGTCATTTGATGTCCATCACGCATGCGCCGTGCTAAAGGGAAATCCCCTGGCACGCTCATCAACAAAAAGAAGTCATGAACAAAAATGCGCGTTACCTCTGGCTCGTGATTTCCGTGTTCATCTAATTGCCGCTCAATGGATTCTTATCCTATCGCAAAGAACTTTATATACCCGGAAAGGTGAGTACAAGACCTTTCCAAAGGTATATTGATTGTTGCCGTGTGTTTATGTTCGACGAAGTTACAAAGTTTGTAAACTCGTCTGTCCACTGCGATATATCGCGCGACTTTTTTTGCGAGTTAACGTACATAGTGGATCAGGTCATGCATAAAGCGCGAATTAACTCGTACTCAGCACTAGTGCACTAGCCCTTTCCCAAAGGTGCTCTTTTAATTCGCACTTAGTGCTTTTCGCGGCCCTCAAAATATGCTGAAAAAGTGCTCTTTTTTCAGTGAAAACAGGCCAAAAGTGCTCTTTTTTCAGTGAAAGCAGGCAAAAAGTGCTCTTTTTTAGTGAAGCATAGCCATGATACATGTTCAGATATGAACCCAAGTTGAGAAATGAATACGCACTCTTCCATTCATTGGTCGACGAAAGGCAAAACAGGAAGTTAGTTAAAAAAAACACTTTTTACAGCATTGTGTACAAGCTTCACCAACTAGCACTTGTTGCCCCCAAAAAAGCGGCATGCCAAGGCCCATCGAGTACTTGGAAACTGTGATCGCATGCATGAGCAAACAGATTTTAGCACTTTTTCAGCTAAAAAAGCTCAAAAAGGGCGATAATCACCAAAAAACGCAATAAAGGGCGAAAGAAACGGGCTTTTCCAAAAAGGGCGAAAAAAGGGCGAGCACCTTTGGTAAAGGGCTACTCAGCACGCAAAGGATTAACTAATACTTGGCGGACCAAGTAGTATGAACAATGAAGCAATTCCACCTCCTCCACATACGCTCTCTGGCCGACAATGACATCAGCAACATTACTACAAGTTGTATATACTGACAGATATAATTTCCTCCAGGCAGCGTTGTTTGGATCACTAAGGTCTGATCAGTGTAGGTTGAGAATAGCGAATGGCTAGCATTAATTTGAAGTCACATATTTATACATAGAATGAAGTGAAGAATTGTGATCCTGCGCTTTGAGATACCAGATGGACGAAGTGCTTACACATGGAGAAAAGGCGCAATATACTGCGGACATGATCGATACTTAAATAACAGATTCTAGCACTTCGAGATACAACCATGTAGCATACTGAAAAACGGGGCGACAGTTCAGTCCTTTGCGCTCCAACACCGCACTGCAAGTACGCAAGAGGCCCCCGGCCTGGGGCATTTGCTGCGTGAATTCACTCACCACCAAACAGAACTGTCATGGCATGGTCGGGCGAAAATTCTGCTGTTGTCTCCCTTGTATAATTACGGTTCTCGTATGATGTCACCCTATTAAGTATTAGTATGAACACTAGTATGTAAACTTGTAAAACCAAATACCTCTAGGGTATTATAGATTAGCAAATCCGGTTTTAGAGTGAGTGGGAGGTGTCTAGGTCAGAGCAAGGTTTGCCCAGTCGAGCAAGGGGAATGTGCATTACACATGTGTGGCACGCTTCACTTGGAAATACACAGATATCCTTGGAGGTACAGTGGTGCCTTTTCGTCATTCAGTTTTGAAAAACATTTCCTTGATTAATTGATAAACTTTCATGTCTCCGTCAGTTTTTAGCGAGGCAGCAATATTAATACGAGGTCAGTGTTCATAAGCAAAGTGAACCCTTTGCCTGAATCGTGCAACTTTCCATGACGAAAAATCCCATGCACTGCATCACTGCTTCCGTCATTCCAGGCCACGAGTTCCCAAACTAAACTCTGGGTTGCAGCACGGCTGGAAAAAAGCCCTTCTACTTCCAAGCAGGACTTGAACCTGGTACCCTCTATTTCTCAATCATGGTCTTGGACCGCCCCACTTTAGCTACCTGCTGAGGTGGGGAAAGCCTCCGTACTTAGACACAGGGATATTGTGTATCGCACACCTTTCCCCCATCAACCTCTCCAGCACATCTGCGCTCTTCAGAGGGCCTCTCCATTGTTGTGGCTGTAGTTCTGAGCGCAGGTTTTGAATTGTACTGGGAAGTAGCATATAAACCAACCAAACAACCCGCCAACTATTTTCTATATGTTGTCTCTGAACTGTGTTGCTGGTAGCCAAGATATGTACAAAACCAACTGTACCAAACGGAACTTTTAGGAAAGGTTCATTCAATGGCGTAAACAATACACTGCCGGGAACGTGTGACAATGGCTACACAGCTGTACAACAGCTTAAGGCGACTTGCGACTTTTTTGGCAGGGTGACTGTGGTGGGCAAATGCGGTAAGATATCCTGCGTGTTTCTGATTGAGATTGTATAGTGGTGACAATTGATGTGAGCCTTAATATTTAGTTTAACTTTTAGTAATGCAATAAATATAAGTAAATGCGCACTCATATCACAACCATAAAAAATAAAATAAAAATTATCGTATCCGTTCCCGAAGGGAACTCACGACGGCCGCTAACACCTGATAAACCCTAGCGGCAGATGCAGCGCTACAACAAATACACTTCGGACTTCCGCCATGAAAAGTACGCCGCATCGACTAAGTTGTCCAAGCACATCTGGGATCTGAAAAACGAGAACCGCAGATTCGACATCAGATGGGAGATCAAGGATAGAGCACCTTCATACAGTAACATCAGCAAGAAGTGTGGCGTATGCCTCACCGAAAAGTTCCACATGCTGAAAGCTTCAAAAGCTACCTCCCTAAACAAGAGAAGTGAGCTGGTATCTAAATGCCCTCACCAGCGCAAGTTTCTGCTGGCCACCCCTATAACATAGACAGCTATGACCGCTGCGGGGTTTTTGATGCGTGATTGCAGGAGTTTGTGTGCGCTTAGGCCTCGGTCACACTACGGCAAAAATGCTGCATCAGCGTCAGAATCATGAGCTTTTCCATGGCAACTGACGCAACGCGGGAAGTTTGAGCGTCAGACGCTGCGGCGTCTGACGTGGGGAAATCGGCTGCGTTGCCGCTGATGGGAGTGACGCTTGGCGGAAAAACAGTGTCTTTCAAGTAAAATAATTATTAGTTTCAAGACACTTTGCTTGAGTTGAGCAGTTATTCGACATTCGTCTGTTCAAGGTTTGTTTTGTTCCCTCTTTTTGTTCGAGATAAGTCCGTGGACCTACGAGGCCGAGGCTGCTCTGCTCCGAACCTGGCGGAAGAGCGAGGCGTTTTCTGAGAAGAAAATGATGTCGAGAAAGGACCAGTTGTTTGAGTGGGTCATCGGCCAACTGGAGCCTGTTGACTTGTGAGTGTTGTGTTGTCGTCAAGAGCCCCAAAAAGGACAACCAGTATGACGAAGTCAGGAGAAACACAGCTGCGATGCGGACTTTTCTTGCCTGATCAATGACACTACAACTGAAAATGGCTTCAAATTCGGAAAGAAACAACAACGATCGTGCACGCGTGGACCAGTACCTTTCGTCTTCTTGTAATCAAAAATCAATGAAAAATTCGAAAACTTTGTCCGACAATTTTTTTGTATAATAAGCAAAAGGCCGGTTTCCGTGGGAATCCGTGTCGTCATTGAGTTTTCCTGATGGTTTTGTGACGTAGAAAAATGCGTCAAGCCGCGGCAGTCATCATCTGGTCATGAGCTGCAAAAAAAACAAAACACCGTGTGACCCCGTGTCTCCGTCAAGTGCTGCGGCTTGACGCTGCGTCCAGCTTCAAACTGCCGTAGTGTGACCGAGGCCTAAGGCCTCGGTCACACTACGGCAAAAATGCTGCGTCAGCGTCAGAATCATGAGCTTTTCCATGGCAACTGACGCAACGCGGGAAATTTGAGCGTCAGACGCTGCTGCGTCTGACGTGGGGAAATCGGCTGCGTTGCCGCTGATGGGAGTGACGCTTGGCGGAAAAACAGTGTCTTTCAAGTAAAATTAGTTTCAAGACACTTTGCTTGAGTTTAGCAGTTATTCGACATTCGTCTGTTCAAGGTTTGTTTTGTTCCCTCTTTTTGTTCGAGATGAGTCCGTGGACCTACGAGGCGAGGCTGCTCTGCTCCGAACCTGGCGGAAGAGCGAGGCGTTTTCTGAGAAGAAAATGATGTCGAGAAAGGACCAGTTGTTTGAGTGGGTCATCGGCCAACTGGAGCCTGTCGACTTGTGAGTGTTGTGTTGTCGTCAAGAGCCCCAAAAAGGACAACCAGTATGACGAAGTCAGGAGAAACACAGCTGCGATGCGGACTTTTCTTGCCTGATCAATGACACTACAACTGAAAATGGCTTCAAATTCGGAAAGAAACAACAACGATCGTGCACGCGTGGACCTACCTTTCGTCTTCTTGTAATCAAAAATCAATGAAAAATTCGAAAACTTTGTCCGACAATTTTTTTGTATAATAAGCAAAAGGCCGGTTTCCGTGGGAATCCGTGTCGTCATTGAGTTTTCCTGGTGGTTTTGTGACGTAGACAAATGCGTCAAGCCGCGGCAGTCATGAGCTGCAAAAAAAACCAAACACTGTGTGACCCCGCGTCTCCGTCAAGTGCTGCGGCTGGACGCTGCGTCCAGCTTCAAACTGCCGTAGTGTGACCGAGGCCTTAGATTGGTCATACGAACGTAGATGCCTGTGTATGCGCGTGTGCGTGTGGGCATGTGTGTGTATATGTGTGCGCATTATATCTATAGGTGTGTATATGCGTGTATGCGTGTGTTTTTGCGGGTGCAAGTTAGGGTGCTGTGGGTGGGTGTCTGTGTGTGCGTGCGCCCGTGTGCAAGTTAGGGTGTTGTGGGTGGGTGTATGTGTGTGTGTGTGTGTGTGTGTGTGTGTGTGTGTGTGTGTGTGTGTGTGTGTGTGTGTGTGTGTGTGTGTGTGTGTGTGTGTGTGTGTGTGTGTGTGTGTGTGTGTGTGTGTGTGTGTGTGTGTGTGTGTGTGTGTGTGTGTGTGTGGGATTCACTGGCCAGAAAATGTCACTCCAAATAGCTGTATGGTGTAGACCAGGCTGAATAGTGACGGTCAATTCTTCAGCCTTGCAAGCTGTTAAATGGTGTAATCCCAGCACAAGTTGCTATGGCTTCTGCCGTAGCATTGCTATCATCGCCTCCGGCGATGGGCGTCAAAGGTCAAAGGTGTGTGTGTGTGATAGTGTGATAGTGTGTGCGTGTATGTGTGTGGGTGTTACTATGTGTGTGCGTGTTAGTATGTGTGTGTGTGTGTGTGTGGGTGTGGTGTGTGAGCGTGCTTGTTAGTGCTAGACCTGCGCCTACTGCATCTGCCTCTGAAATAGCCTGTCCCTTTATACATTCACGCGATTACTCCTCTCGCTATCGTATTATCACACCTCTCTCCACTTAGATATTCCAGCGCTGCCTCCTATTCCATTATTGTTGTCTGATGATTGGTTCAGCCATGAAACTCTGAGTCACAACGGAGTTAATTTGCCAAGGTTTTCATTGTGTGCCTTTGTTTATATAGAAGTAGAAAGGCTGTGGGGCAAGATGCCGTACCATGAAGCATAGCAGATTAACACGACGTTGGAAGGTTTTCAGGATGGTCTGAAGGTGGACGGTGTTGGACTAGTCGGGTGTTAAAATACACTCCAAGATGCTTCGCAGCTTCAACGATGGTGATAGGTTGGGAAGAGAGCCGGATAGGGTGGTCGTTACTGTAGTTACGGATCTGAGTCGTTTTGGCTGGTGAGAACTCTCCACCGCCGTTGCTGGCCCATAGTTGGCAGGCAGAAAGGTCGCTCTCTAGACGAGATTGGTTCCACTGCAGGGAATTCGTGTTATCATGTACATACAGGAGGGTGACATCGTCAGCAAATAAGTGTTCAGCGTGTCTTGGAGGTGTGAGCCTCGGCAAGTATGCCCGGTCGATTGGCCCAAACTAACTCTGCTTCCGGATAAGATCTGGGATTCTTTTCCAAATCGACCCCACATTCTTTCAGTGACTGAAAACTCCAAGACATGATCGAGGAACTCCCAACGTGGCAGGCACGTCTCGAGCCAAATCGGTACCTAGTTGCAGATGTCGTTCGGGTGCTAGTTTCTGAAAAGACCAAAAATAGGGATTACCGGCCAGAAAAAGTCACTTCAAATAGCTGTATGGTGTAGACCAGGCTGAATAGTGATGGTCAATTCTTCCGCCTTGCAAGCTGTTGAATGGTGCAATCTCCGCACAAGTTACTATGGCTTCTGCCGTAGCATTGCTATCATCGCCTCCTGCGATAGGCGTCAAAAGGTCAAAAGTGTGTGTGTGTGTGTGTGTGTGTGTGTGTGTGTGTGTGTGTGTGTGTATGTGTAAAAACTGTGAACCAAGAGTCACCATAAACTATTCTCTTAGCATTCACACACACACACAAACACACACACACACGCACGCACGCACCCCCCCCCTCCACATATATTATTAGGTATTATATCACATTGTGTTCATTCCCCCGGGGATAGCATCCGTGAGAGTCCAAGTCGGAAAGTTGAGATTCAAGTAGTGCCGGAGTACGATGTTTCGTGCCAAAATCCGTAGAGGCGCTTCGGATTTTTTATACCTCGTTTTCGAGCAGTGAAATGTTCCTGAGTACGAAACTTATGTGTTTGCCGTCATTGCCTAGGTTACGATCGCAAACACGTCACATTCTCGCGCTATGCCTTTTTTATTTTGAAAAATTTGTACCGAAATCAAAGCTTCCCGCTGAAAATCGATGTTCCTCGTACCAAATTTGTACGCGAAAATGCCGAAAAATCGTATGGAGCAGGCCTGGAAAAAATTCGTACCGCCCATAAAGATTTTGGCACGGAAAATCCTACCCCGGAACCTCTCTAATATAATTATTAAAAACAGCGTAGCGCCCAATATACTGCCCTGGGCTGCACCTGCAGAGATTGTGTAGAGAGAAGAAATCTACTCGCCGACTAAGCACTGGAGTGAACGGCCATCGCTAGCTATGAAGAGTGCCAGTAATTCCGGACCTTGTAGAGGAGGCTCACGTGGAACACCCGGCCAACGGCCACGGCTATATCGACTGCGAGAATTCGTGCCGCACTGCTGGCTTGGCCAACGATGCCCAACCAGGCGTTATGAAGTGCCTGTAGTGCGTCTGCCGTGCCAAGACCCCTACGGAACCCAAACTGGTGGGGAGTGAGGAGCTGCTGGCGTTTGAGATGGTTCATCATTTTGGCGATTGACTATAGTTTCCATGGCTTTCCATGACACATTATGCATAACAACGAGACTGGGCGGTGGTTCTTCAGAACAGAGCGCGAGGACCGTTTGTGGACCAGCACCACGTTAGCTGTCTTCCAAAGATTTTGTTGAACTCCACATCTGGAACAGAGAGCGAATAGCTTGGACAAAGACTTCGCAAGCTCTTTTGCACATTCTTCAGGACCCGGGCTGAAATGCCGTCAGGACTAGGCGTCTTTGACGTGTTGCATCACGCTAGGAGATGGTAGACAGTTGCCGGGCGAAAGTGAGCAGCTGTGATTGCCGCTGGTCCGTTTGGAACAAGGTCAGGTAAATGGCCGGAAGCAAGATCCTGGCCAGTGGCACTGCACTTCTTGGGGAAGAAGGTGGCAAAGGCCTCCGATTTCTCAGCGGTGTACAAAAATTAGAACTTTCTGAGTGTATGTGTGTGCAAGGCTGACAATACTAAGAAGTGCCAGAAGCCGTGCGTTGGCACCACCACTATCCACTACGGACGGGTGAGGACGCACGTACAATGACAACGGAAGTGACAACAACAGTAAATATTCGAAAACGTGGTAGACCGCGAAAACGAACCTCGACATCGGACACCGGACATGTTGAAGTAAGAAGCTCAACAGAAAACCGCAATGGAGGAGACGTGGCTGAAAGGACACTGGGCATCGCACACACACAATGGCCAGTGTCAGGAAACGTGGAAGGCCACGAAAACAGACAGAGACGGATAGTGGTGGTGCCGCGAAGAGGCGAGATCACGGGACATTGGAGGAGACAACACCCAACGGAGCTAAGAATCGCACTTCGTCAATCAAGCATTATCTGTCAGCCCGTACCAATTGTCCTGAGTTGTACAGTGATTGTTTTCTCAATATTGTCACGTGGTAGATGTGCGTTGCATTTGGCTGTGTTAGAAGCTTTGTATATACGTACATTAGATCCTGAACTTTGTGTACAGAAAGAAAATGTGTTGTCGCTACAATTGTTTGGTGTTGCTCCTCGTTGACGTGTTAACAATGTAACTAAATTTGCTCACTATGTTGTTGTCACTATCAATATTTTCCTTCGAGTTTTGTGTCGTTCCGAACTTGATAAGTTTCCACCTTGCTACGAGTGTTGCTATCTCATTATCTTTACGCTATATAAGTTTTAGTCTTTCCAGCTTGAGCAATTCATTCCCTGTACAATCCTTGATGAGAAGGGACTGAAAACGTTCGGATACTTTATGACAAGTGCCTTTATTGACTAGATGTGTGTGTTTGCGTGGATATTTGTGACCTAATACTTACCTTCGTTTTTAATTAATTAATTCAAGTAATAATTATTATTACTCACTGCCATCCAAACTATAGTTAACAATGTTGCCAGGGATTCACAGAACATGTTCAGCACTTGGAAATCACTGAGTTTGTTTTGTGGTCATCTGGTCTGGCTTTCCGTGAGTGAGGATTTGGTGGATTTGGCCATGTAGCACAGGAGCAAGCTTCGTTTTTTGTTTGCGTGTGTGTGTGTGTGTGGTGTGTGGTGTGTGTGTACGTGTGTGCGTGTGGGTGTGCACATGTGTGTGTGCACATGTGTGTGCGCGCGTGCGTGCGTGCACGCGTGCGTGTGAGTGCATGTGTCTGTGTGTGTGCGTGCGTGTGTGTGCATGTGCATGTGCGTGTGTCTGTTTGTCTTTTTTCTGGTGGCAGTGAAAGATTAAGATGATATCTGGTAGATATTGCAACATACTCCGCAGGTTGTATCTGCTGCTCGCTATGCTTAGTGTCCCGTCTGCTTACCTCAACCAACCCACAGTAACCATGGTAACTGTATAGTGATGGGTGATAGCAACAGAACCGTAGAATACCACCCTATCTCACATGCCTAGACTGCATTTGTTAGAAGGCGTTTCTTCGTTTTCTTCATATTCTTTTCTCCTTTTCGTCCACTCTTCCCTTCTCTGATCTCATAGCGCTGGTAATACATATATATAATCAACCTTTGATCAAGAGAATATTCAAACCAATCTGCAACCTCAAAGTCTGCTGAGAGTGATATTATGCCGGTGTGACGGAATATAGGTATCACATACCATGCAACAGGGATTTGTTGAATTATATTTGCCGCTAAAATCACAATCCAGCCTCAACAAGCAGCCAAATATGGTGTCTAAGTGACGACATGAGAACAGGTATCTACTTAAATACTACGGTGTCACCTGAAATGTCTCCACAGCCTCCTGCCCACACATACACCCTGCCCACACCAGCTATGTCATGCATGTACTCTGTGCTAACACCACACTGCTAGCTCTGTCATTACCTCTACAGCCTCCAGCCTACAACGTCCACACACCTTGCGTACAACCTCCTGCCCACACCAGCCACATATTCTGCGCTGATGTTGCACTGCTAACCCTGCCATTGCCTCTACAGCTCCCCTGCCTTCAACAACCACACACTCTGCACACACACAGTCTCCTGCCTAGAATACTGACGTACATAACTGAACGACCTTGTTGCTCGGAGTCATACTATTCATTTACTGCATTGCTGAGCTCGAAAAAAATCTTTCGTCCACACCTGAACGTCCTCCTGAGCTACCTGGAGGCGACAAGAAATCCCTGCTGGCGTGCCAGTGCTCAAGTGATAATCTGTTCGTTGTCGCCTGCATGCCAACATTACCTCACCTGAGTAGTCTTCACATCACCACCACATAGAGCCATGGCTACATCGAGGAAAGCAATGGCCATCATCTCCAAATATCACTCAATTGCATCGCTAAAATAGCCAAATTTAAAGGGCCATGGCGTGAACCATTTACGGGGTCTATTTCCCTGAACCATGCACTGCATGATAGTGGCCGGCATGTCTCCACCCAGGCCATGTCTCCACCCAGGCCATGTCTCCACCCAGCCATGTCTCCACCCAGGCCATGTCTCCACCCAGGCCATGTCTCCACCCAGGCCATGTCTCCACCCAGGCCATGTCTCCACCCAGGCCATGTCTCCACCCAGGCCATGTCTCCACCCAGGCCATGTACATGTCTAGTAAAAAGCAGGGAGTAGTACAATACCGGGAGGTGACACGGGCACACATCCGGGATTACGAGCTTTGCCTCACAAAAAAAAATACAAACCGCGCGAAAATTCAAATTTTTGCTCTTTTGACAGCGCTGAGAAACCTTCAAATAGTGACGAGAAGACCAGACGTATCCCTTCGTGACAAGCTGCCACTTGTTCATTTCAGCTCGAGCCTTTTTTGGGAGCTACTCTGGTACATCGTCCACACTGCTGCCAAGTCTCCACTTCCCAAAATGGATGGAAGTGACGAATATGGAGGACGCTATCCTAGGTAAGTAACGTGATGGAATTTTCTCATCTTGACATGGTGTAACACGAACCTGAATTTCTCATTTGGACCCACTCGGACACCTCACCAAGTTGGGATATTTCGAAACTATACCTATTTGTCTACCATTCTACTTCATCTCAACGTGTTAGCTTATGTAACTCTTTGGAAAACTCATTCCGAAAATTTTGAAACTTATTTATTTGTATAGACTTGAACATAATGTTCAAGATCACTTGTTTTCAGCACTGAATGAGGCCAGGCCTGCTTGCTTTGTTGCTTTTTTAACCCCCAGAACCCGTGGACAGAAGAGGAAGAGCGACGACTTGGGTGCGGCTGCGAAGTCTGCCTGCCCAACGCCAATTGCTCCTCACCCAAAAAGTAAACAAATTATATAGCAGGAGTGGTTTCAAGTGGTTTCAATGCATTGTGTTTTTGGGATGTTGGTGTGTACTTATGCAGTCCTAGCGTGTTGAGCATAGCAAAGCACTGCAACTATGCACCACCCCCCGTGGTACTTCACAACCGAGTTAGCCGCTTGATCCATGGTGCGGCGAGCAACCTCCATGTCCATAGGGTTGCTCGGAGCTGTGGCTGCTGACGCAGGCTTCCTATTCATAGTGAAATCAAGAAGAAGGGCAAATAGTGCACTGGACACTCTGACACCTGTACAAAACACCAATCCACGCACACACACACACACACACACACACACAAACACGCACTGTCTATGAAAAAAACAAACACTTCAAAGTACAATTTGGTACAATAAATCTCTACAGCGCAATAGGAACAGAAAATGACCAGTATGATGATGACATTACCTGTACTTGCAGAACTGGTGTCTAGCTCTTGGAAAATGGTTGACGAATTGCGAAGTAAATCAGTCCACACATTTGAGACATTCGTGCACTCTCCTCTCCTTAATTTTCCTAAGGCCTTGTTCTTGAAAAACAACGTCTGCTGCTGCTCACAATTTATTATTGCCTGCCGAAAGTGAACTATGAACAGCTCCACGTTTGCAGGGTGCTTGTCCAGTGACCAGAGTTGCTGAGCTACTGCCACCTCATGTTGGCAGTAGCGTTGCATGTCCGAGTCCTTGCACAGATCTGGTGAGATGTAACCCAAAGAGAAATGAAAATGTGAATGACTGAAAGTCAACAAACTATACTCTGTTGAAGACACACTCTTACCTGCTGCCCATGTCAAAATACTGGACACACTGAAGGTATCCGGCTGAGGTACAATGGCTACTTGGCATACCTCGTCTGATTCCTCCTCGTCACTAGGAAAAACTAAAACATTTGTTGTCTCCATTGCACAGACTAACTTCTTGGACAGGTTCTGGAAAACAAGAATGACTATGGTGATGTTGTGGCACCAAAACCTTTTGTCACTGGCAAATATACACCCACACACCTACACACACCCTCGTGTACTTGTACACCACACACGCACGCGCGCATACATACAACTATTCGTCTGTATCCTTTTGTGTTTGACATGATTCCACGGTGCCATGAAAGTAACATTGGTGCCATAAAAGTAACATTGGTTATAATCAAGGAGTAATGGTATTGTACGATTCTGATTGCGTATGCTCTTGGTGGCCATATATATCAGGAAGTAGTACAATACCGGTATTGTACTACTCCCTGATATATACTATAGTTCATCGTCACGCAGCTCCCCACAAAGTACAAATTGTAGTAAAAGCAATTACGTACTAATACGTATAGTAATATGCAGACACATACAACTAGTAGTCACACAAAGTATCTATAATAAGCACACGTACTAGGAATAGTACGTAAGCAGGCTATCTTTATCCTTTTACGCTTGGTCTGATTACCTGCATACACGACTTACACGGCATGGTCACTTGCACCAGTAACATTGTACATAATTCCACACTGCCTTTATCATCAACACCAGTTCCTGTTAACGCGTAACATCTCAGGCTTTGTAGCAGGGAGTAGCACAGTGCCATTGTACCATTGTGCTACTCCCTGCTTGACACAGACTTGCGTCATAGTGACATTTGCGAATAGCTGCCCCTGCAGTATAAAATTTATTTTATTTTGTGTTTCTCTCTGACGACTATAGCATCTGGATTCGGAATAGCCTTACTATCTTGAGACGGGTCAGCCATACCTGAAACATGTTGTTCATTGTGACTAAAACTTGAGTCAACATTATCTATTCCCCTAGAAACGACGTGAATAACTAAATGTAATACAACTAAATGTAATACAAATTAAATTAGGAAGAAAATTTCACTCTTACAAGCCGCCCACGTAAAAACTGGACACACTGAAGGTACCCGTGCGAAGGCCAGCTGCTACTTGATATCCTTCGTAGGATTCATCCTCATCACTCAGCAAAGACTGATGGATTCGTTCCCTACATCGTCAAAACAAACTTCAAAAAGTACTGCTCGAAAACTTCTTGACAGCATTCTGCCAATCTCTTCAAGTCGTTCTATGAATTTTTTTGAAAAATGCTACGAAATGCTACGATAAATGGTACGCGAAGTACGATATTTCGTGACGTTTCCCGGGACACAGCGCGCGAAGTACGATATTTCGTGACGTTTCCCGGGACACAGCGCTCCACAGAAAAGTGACCTGAGGCAAAGCTCGCCCGCCTGAATGTGTGGCCGTGTCACCTCCCGGTATTGTACTACTCCCTGGTAAAAAGTGTCCCACGCTTTCCGGAAATAAACAAATTTCAATATTTTCACTTCACCACATTGCAGCATTTCCAATTTCCTACCCGACGACAGCAAGCGCCTCCTCAAGCGCCAAAACAAGGCGCCGCTCCAGACGCCACCACGCCAAACACTGCAGCGTGGTCACCTCTACCGAGTCTGACAAGAAATATGAACTGACAACCCTTGTCACTCGGAACAACAAGCACTTCCCTCCCTGGCAGGAAAGCTCTGATCTGAAGTGCAAAACATATTGAACAAACCTCGATTTGATCAATCGAAGATGCTATATTTGCGTCCTGAAACTGGCCGTGCCCGACCACCGCGTGACATAGCAGGTCGACAGATTTCAGCGAGTTGATCGACAATCAAGATCAGAATCAAAATCTGGATGATCAGGTTGATTTTTACGATGATATGATTTATCGCTCTCGGGATTCACAGAAGCTTTTTTGCAATGCGACAGACGCGAAACCGGGAAAACCCCAAATCGCAGCCATGTCGCACCCCACGCAACTGCCGCAACTGGGCCATCGCAGGCCATCGCAGAAGCTGAGCTTGGCTCAACTTTTGCGATGCGATGCGACAAGCGATTTGGCGTACGATTTTGACCTTTTCTACAGCAAAGTTGTACAAAGGTTCAAGAGTTGTGTTGATTCTTCACAAAATGTGTTATTTTGCCCATACGAGAGGCTTGTCCAAAAAAAAAGAGTTGCCTATAAATTTGTACAAGTTGTATCAAACCGCGCAAATATCATGGTGATGTAGCCCAATCAGCAAGATGTTGTCGCATCACTGACTTCTTCTGTGAATGGTATTTCGCGAGTTCGCATCGCACGCGTCCGTCGCAGATCGCGTCGCATCGCGTGTCGCATCGCAAAAAAGCTTCTGTGAATCCCGCTTCAGGCTGCGTTTACACGCAGACGAAACGAAACGGAACGAAACGGAACGAAAACGGGCTGGCCT